TGATCTGAGCTCCAGAAATCCTCATTTAATTTTTAAACCCCTCCACGGGTCTCCGGAGCCCAACGCGGACCTCCCTGACCCGGTACTGACCGATGTAGGCTACAGCTGCACAAAATGCCTCAGGCACAGCGATAGAGGCGTTGTTTCTCTGATCAGGAAACCCGTGGACTCGATGTCCAGACAGGCTGGAGTGGGTGCAGCCTTCACACACTAGTTTATCAACATGAACACAACCCAAAACTAGTAAACACACACACACTGACTGGATAACATGACCTCACTACCCTAAAACTAGCCACTCTCCACACTGAGCTGAGGCAGCACCTAGCTTCTAACTCCCTTTGGTTACATCAGAGGTTCACATTTAGAAACAAGAGTAAGGAACTTTTTACTAGAAACTGCTGTTATGTGTTTTAAAACCAAATATCCACAATAAGCTTTTCAAATAGCATTTTTGGACAGAATTTTATATGAATTAGAAAAATAAATGTTACCTGCTATTTGCTCTTTAAATGTCAGGGAGTAGTAACACTGAAGCGGTAGTGCCAAAAAGCCACAACGCATAAAACCAGATTCTGGTCTGAAAGGTTCCACTAAGCCCAGATTCTGGTCTGAAAGGTTCCACTAAGCCCAGATTCTGGTCTGAAAGGTTCCGCTAAACCCAGATTCTGGTCTGAAAGGTTCCGCTAAGCCCAGATTCTGGTCTGAAAGGTTCCGCTAAACCCAGATTCTGGTCTGGAAGGTTCCGCTAAGCCCAGATTCTGGTCTGAAAGGTTCCGCTAAACCCAGATTCTGGTCTGGAAGGTTCCGCTAAGCCCAGATTCTGGTCTGAAAGGTTCCGCTAAGCCCAGATTCTGGTCTGGAAGGTTCCGCTAAGCCCAGATTCTGGTTCTGAAAGGTTCCGCTAAGCCCAGATTCTGGTCTGAAAGGTTCCGCTAAACCCAGATTCTGGTCTGAAAGGTTCCGCTAAACCCAGATTCTGGTCTGAAAGGTTCCGCTAAGCCCAGATTCTGGTCTGGAAGGTTCCGCTAAGCCCAGATTCTGGTCTGAAAAGGTTCCACTAAACCCAGATTTTGGTCTGGAAGGTTCCGCTAAGCCCAGATTCTGGTCTGAAAGGTTCCGCTAAACCCAGATTCTGGTCTGGAAGGTTCCGCTAAGCCCAGATTCTGGTCTGAAAGGTTCCGCTAAACCCAGATTCTGGTCTGGAAGGTTCCGCTAAGCCCAGATTCTGGTCTGAAAGGTTCCGCTAAACCCAGATTCTGGTCTGAAAGGTTCCGCTAAACCCAGATTCTGGTCTGAAAGGTTCCGCTAAGCCCAGATTCTGGTCTGAAAGGTTCCGCTAAGCCCAGATTCTGGTCTGAAAGGTTCCGCTAAGCCCAGATTCTGGTCTGAAAGGTTCCGCTAAGCCCAGATTCTGGTCTGAAAGGTTCCGCTAAACCCAGATTCTGGTCTGGAAGGGTTCCGCTAAGCCCAGATTCTGGTCTGAAAGGTTCCGCTAAACCCAGATTCTGGTCTGAAAGGTTCCGCTAAAACCCAGATTTTGGTCTGAAAGGTTCCGCTAAGCCCAGATTCTGGTCTGAAAGGTTCCGCTAAACCCAGATTCTGGTCTGAAAGGTTCCACTAAGCCCAGATTCTGGTCTGAAAGGTTCCACTAAGCCCAGATTCTGGTCTGAAAGGTTCCACTAAACCCAGATTCTGGTCTGGAAGGTTCCACTAAGCCCAGATTCTGATCTAAAGTTTTACCTCATTAACAGTCAGATGACAAATCCACACAGATCACAAAAGGTGTTTAATTACAGTTCTGTAGAAACTGACATGTCTGGACACCCACTGTTTATTTTGAACCCTACTGTTAGGAAGAAACATCTTTACCAGGAAGTACATTTTAATAATTTAGTTTTTCTTTAAGGTGTCTGTACGAACATCGTTACCCAAGGTGCTTGGACAGGTAAGAGAACTTTCTGATTATCGTTTGTGAATATCATCAAATACAGTTTATAGCTGTGGGTAAACTTCAATTGGTTTTAGAGAAACTTCCGGTTCTTCACCTCTCAGAGTCTTGGGTTTATTCTGCTGCAACAGAACATCTCATCAGGCTTTTTCAGCTGCTGCAGCAGCAGCTCAGAACCAGACCTGGAGCTGTTTTTGTTTAAAGCCCTCTGGTTCTCTGACCTTCTGTCTCTCACCTTTCAGGCTCTGAGGTTCTGTGGTCCCATGGTTCCGGTCTACACGGCTGTAACTCTCTTCCTGGCCTGTGGGGGGCAGCTGTTGTCTGTCCTGAAGTCAAGGGGCACCGTTGACATGAGCCAGGCGGTGGCTGCAGGACTGCAGCCTCATAAAATAAACCTACCTGTTTATGTTTTAAGCGTCTTTCTCAGGTGACGTTTTAATCTCCAGATTTTAATCTGGATGAAATCATCCTCATGGTCCTGCATCTGTTCTCAGCTGCAGCTGGTTTCAGGAGGTCTGGTCCATCCTCAGCCTCCCACCTGTGGACACGCTCCCCCCGACCTTTCCCGATGGAACGCTCCATGAGGGACTTTTGTCTCCTGAGGACTGGCCCCACCTCCTGTCTCCTCTGATTTATATCTTCGGGGCTGCTGTGGCGTACTGGGGCAGCACTTTGCTCCGCCTCCTGATTCAGATCATCTCACTGGTGTTGGCGCCGCTGCACAGGTGAGTCTGAACTTGACCTCTGACATCAAAACAGCAGAAGTGGTGCTTACGTTTGGTGTGCTCCTGTCTTCACCTGCAGGCCATCTGTGTCCAGAGACTGTGGGACTCTGCGGACGAGGACGCTACTCTTCATCAGCCTCTGTTTGGTGGTTGTGGGCGGGGCTTCCTGTGGGGCTTTGGCCATCTTTACATCCTCTCTCTTGCACCTGTACAGGGTCAGTCCTGCTGGAATTAAACATGCTGTCACAAGATGTAAAACAAGCCGCTTTCATAAGACAAGCTATGCCGACAAATCAGCATAACATGCAAGATTATCCCCAGATTATCCGTGCTTTTGTGAAAGCACATGAACGCACCACATTACCGCCATGGTCCAGTCAGGAGTTAAACTCCTTCTGCAGGAATTCTGGGAAATTATTTTCCTTTTTATTGAGACCTGTAGGAATGGACTCACCACTGGTTATTAACTGGAGGGATTATGGGTATTTTAGTTGTTGAGCCCTGATTAGCACTCGGCTAATTAGCATTAGCATCACAGGTTTCTGAATGTTCGTGTGGATTTTTCTCAGGTTGTCCGGCTGCAAATGACGGAGAGATCTCTGAGACACATGCTGAACCTGGTGAGCTGGCAGAGGCCTCGCTTGGGTTACTTTAGACCTAGAACTCTGAGACGATGAGCCCGTCCTTTTCTCCAGGCGCCACAGAAACCCAAACCAGCCGACAACGGTTCTGCGGATACGGAGGCCTGGAACGGGGCTAAAGATTTCAGCAACGCCCCATTGCTGTCGGAGTGCGCCCTGCAGGAGGTGAGGACCGACCTGCAGCTGCACTTCAGCATGTCGGCCGTCTTCATGCTGCCCGTCATGCTCGGGATGCCGTCGCTGCTCCACTGGATCAGAAACCTGAGGTACGACGTCAGAACCCCCGGGAACATCTTGTTTTAAAGCTGAACAGGAAGAATTTAGTTTAGACGTTTAACTTTATGAAAGTCAGACTGGTGTTGGTTTGATGAGATTCCCCGTCTGCAGGTTCTCCACCCAGCTGGATCCTGACCCACTGTGGCCTCACACTGTGCCTCTCATCTTTGCCTACTTGCTGCTAATCAACTGTAACTCTTCAAACCTCAGTAGCAGGTAAGACTCACCTGAATTACCTCCAGCCGACACACATTTGTGTTTCAGTTCAGTGAAAGTACGACGGGATGACAAACCCTCTTAGGTCCTTCGTGTTTAGATCAACATTTTCAGGAATCCTGAGTTAATGTCTCTCCTCTTTCTTTAAGATGATTGTTTAAAACAAATGAATCCAAACAACCGTCAGAGATTCTTCATTATTCAGCTTTTATTATTCTAATATTAGGTGTAGGTGAGTGGGCGGGGCTGATGATGTCATCAGGTTGCTACGGGTGCTTGTTTTTATAAAATGAATAAAGTATTCTGGAACAACAAGGTTTAGTTTCATGAAACAAGGAACTGAAACTTGAGGAGGCTCGGAGACAAAAGCCTGAGACATTGTCAGATCCAGAGAGAATGGATGATGGACATCTATCATTTTCCTTTTTCTCAGAAATAATAAAGTGCAGGTGTTTTGTTTTTTACAGTCGACTCCTGCCTCTGGTCTCCCTCCTCCCTCTTCCACTGGCTGTCACCATGGCAACCTTCTCCTCACTCCACCTGTACAGAATCACCTACTTCTTGTCAGCAGCGCTCGTCCCGTTGGCCCTGTGTTGTCTTTTCTGATGGCGTCCCAGCCTGTGAGTTGCTGCCAGATTGGATGAGGACGACTCAGACTAAGGAGTGGTTCAGTCGGAGGCGGCGCTGAACGCTCCCGCTCTGGAAGTATCAGGAAGTCATGGCCTTTGAACCTTTGGTGTGAGTCTGTTGGATGTCCAGAAACCGTGTTTGCCTTGTTTCTCTGATGCAGAGATGCTGCTGATGTCCTCAACTGTGTGTGTGTGTGTGTGTGTATGTGTGTGTGTGTGTGTGTGTGTGTGTGTGTGTGTGTGTGTGTGTGTGTGTGTGTGTGTGTGTGTGTGTGTCTGCAGCAGCTTGTTCCTGTAAACCCACTGCCTACTACACCCACTTACAGATGGAGCTGCCGACGCTCCGTCACTGAGATAACTGATGTTTACATCATTATTATTATTATTATTTATTAACAGGAGGGGGAATGTTGCTTTTTCTCTAAACTGTGAAAAGCCTTTGTGATTGTTGTTTTTTGCCAATAATTCATATTTCCCAGGTGGGGAAGTTGGATGGTTTCTGTAAAACTTGGGTGGACATTCAATCATTTATGTTTTTGCCTTTTTTCCTCCGGCTGTCGTACACAAACCTGTCTCTTGTCTTAATCCCACGCAGTGTTCACAGCTGAGGGAAGAAACCAATTCTGCTGGAATCGTATCAAACTGATTTATCTGACAAACTTTCTTCACTTGTTCTCAGAAAATCTGAATCTCCTCTTAGTCACAGCTGAGTCTCCGAAGTCTCCGCCTCCTCCCAGTCGTGCGTGTGTCGTGTCTTTACTGGTTCCAGTCCCCGGCCCTCACTCTGGGACATTTTGAGACCTTTTAACGTCCAGAGCTGAGACTCATGAGAGGAAACAACCTTGAATACTTCCTGAGCACAGCTCAAAGAACTTCATGTAATCCTTCACAATAAGAGCCTCAAACACCTGAAAACACCTTAAGTTTATTAAAACTGAATTCTACCATAAAAAAGCTTTTCTGAGCTAAACTTTTAAAGTGGAACTAAGGCAGTTGGGTTCAGAAACACTATAGGTTTTGTTTCCTCTTCACTTTCTATCTGCTAGCCGCCATCTTAGTAACGAAAAACGGGTTCAATCACCAGTTCCACATCTGTGACTTAGTGAGGTAACACAGGTTTGATAATTTTCATCTGCTGTCCTGCTGCTGCGTCGTACACGCCAACGTTTGTTGGGTCAGCTGAGCAGCTCCTGTGCCTTCCTGCTTCCTCCTCCGTTTCCTGTGACGGTGACAGGAAGTTTACTTTACTGCGTCTGTGGGATCTGCGTTGCCCTTCAGTCATGTGACTTCACACACATCAGTCATTAGGGACCAGTTGTTGCTCCAGATGTGATTGTAATTGCGCTGAATGTTCCCTGTGATCTGAGAAATCAGCTTCTCTGTGTTCGTTTGGTGAAGTCTTAGTGCACGCACATCAGTGGCCATGTTGTATAAACTTGTGACTTTGTAGACAAACGATTAGAAACGGAGTGGTGTTTTATAAACGTGCGGTTCGTATTGGTGTTCACTGTGATCACATTCTTCCAGATGTTCTGATGGAAAACCCACAGTAAAACCTAACAGTCGTGCTTTTCCTTTAAACGTTTTGCTGTAAGTGTGGTCTCCGGTTCTAGCACTCGGATGCGTCTCCGATTGGTGTTTCTTCCCCTGATCGCGACGGGTGTTCGTCAGGCTGTGTTTAGCATTTTAGGCTATTTTTCCCAGACCCCACCCCCACCTTGAGACATCAAATGTGGGTGTCTAAACTTTTTAAAATAGGCGAGGCAGCTTTGTTTATAAAGCAGCGCTCACGCCCAGAAGCAGTTCAGTGTGTTTTCTATTAGCGAGAATAACCCGCCTTGCCTGCTGGTGGTGGTCGGAGGGACCGGTGGCGCCAGTGCTCGGCAGCCTCGCCTTCGTCAGCGTGCCCCAGGGCAGCTGTGGCTACATGGTACCTCATCACCATCAGCGTGTGAATGGGTGAATGATACGCTGTAGTGTAAAGCGCTTTGGAGTCCTCTGACTCAAAGGCGCTATACAAGTGCGGGTCATTCATCATTAAGAACATACCAACGTGTTTTTTTTAGCCCATTTGTCCCCAAATATTGGAAAAGTACATTTAAATGGCCTGATGTAGCCTTAAATCTTGAATTTAACAATGTTATTTAAAATGGCGGAGGGGCGTTCACCAACGGTGTTCAGGGTCTGTGTGACTGTTATTGTTGCTTCCTGTTTGTGAACACCTGCTCTAATTCATGCCGTTAAAACTTTTACCAAAACGATTCACTCAAGCTCGACATCATCTGCTTGTTGGCCGGATTTGAGTAACGTATTTATAAATGTCCATTAGTTTTAATATGTTTGCTTAGAGTTTGCGTTATTTAAATGTGTTAATAAATGGTGGCTGCAGATTAAAAGGTGTGAAAGATCTTGCTGTTTCAGGCCTTCTGTCTGATTCTTTTTAAAGATCTAGTTCACTGACGGGTTTTATAAATACAGTCAGTCACTCTGAGTTTCACATGCAGGCTGATAGTAAATAGACTGTTAACGCTCGGATTAGAGAAGCCTGTCACATCTACGTCACACCGTCACCCTGGACTCATGACGGGGAAGGCTGTCGGGTTAGCGTCCAGGAAACAGCAGAAAACTTCACGGCCAGTAGAAGCTAACCGTTAGCAATAGCAACTCCACCACACAGCAGAACTCCTCCAGGCTTGTGTTATTTATGGAGATGAAACATCAACATTGCAGATCAAACCGTCAGTGGTAGAGTTGTGTTGCTGTTGGCCAATCAAAGGACAGATGTCCACATATCTGCATATAAGACTCCATATCCTGCTGTGCAATGCTCACCTCTTTGGCTCGCTTCTAGTTCCTGAAATATAAGTGCCAGAGCTTTTTTTCTCCCACATTTCAACTCACGAGGCATTCATTTATACTAGAGACCACTGCAGATGTGTTTAAAAACGAGTGAACAAATAAATCTGCTCCTTAAATGTGCAAATGTGTCATGCAGTTGTAAAGATGCTACATCTACTTTTATTTAGATGTATTGGTAACGATCTTGTGTGGAAGGGTAATCCTCAGGTTTGTGTGTTGTATCAAGTAGGTGTTTTTATATTTCTCATATTTTTATCTGATTTTAATGTAAACTGGCTTTCTTAATTGAAATTAAAACAAAAATTTGTTCAACTAACCATTTGTTTAATTATCATGAAATTCTTTGGGTAAAAATCTTTTCTATTTGACAGTTGAGCGAGTTAAAGGTGCAATATGTAAGGATTTTACAACGAAATAATCACAAAGCAGTCTAACGTCTCAGTGATGGTGGTGGAAGGAAGGTTACATTGAGGGTTGTCAGTTTTACTTAAAACCTAAATCGATCTAATGTTGGGTAAAAAACGCAGGATTGCTATTGAATGTAGTGCAGGGATTTAGCCTGAAGAGGGTGCAATAATGAAGGTTTTAGTCTAAATAATTTAATCATTAAGATTCACTAAAACAGAAACGGGGACGTGTTACTCCGGGTTTCCACGGGAGCCGTCAGCAGCACGTTACTGCAGCAGCACGTCTTGCTCGCGTAAGCTGCTGCTTGGCCCTTCCCACGAGACGCGAAGCAGCAGGGGAGCAGCTGTCACCGACCGAGCACGAAGTCACACGAGTGACTTCGTCAGTAAACACAACAACAAGCAGGAGAAAATTACAACATGGTTTGTGTTTTATGTTCTGTCCGTTTTATAATCGCCAATACGGACCTGAAAAACAAAGGAGACCGCTAGCTAGGTGATAACTTCTCACGGGGACGCACAGTTAGTAACTTTTTTTAAAAGTAAAGCAACCGGAAGGCAGTACGTTCTTTATTCTGAAAATCTCGGTAGCTTCTCTCCATTTCCGCGTTTGATTTCCTGTCTTTCCTTCCCCAAAAATGTCGAACTTGACCCGTTTCAGAGACGTCGCGTGTAGAAAATAGAACCGGCGCATAAGGGCCGCGACATGCTGCTCCTGAGACGCGGCCGACTCGCGCTGCTGACGGCTCCAGTGGAAAAGGTTCTGTTGACCACAGCGGTTCCTATCAGCAGCTATGACGTGCTGCTGCAGTAACGTGCTGCTGACGGCTGCTGTGGAAAGCCGGGGTTAGACTCATTTACAGTTTATCAGCAGAAAGAAGTTGATTTGAGGCGACTAGCTCTTTAAGACTTGAAGCTCATTCAGTAAAATACTTTTTCATAATGGATGAAGCCCAAAGGTACATTGAATTTATTTTATTTAAGGAAACTACAAAAACTTGTCCTTGCGTATTTTGCTCAATTTAATACTTGGATTTAACTCGATTGGTGAATTAGCAAACTGCTGTTTGACGGTCGAACAGGTGAGAGCGAGCTCGGCCTTATTGTGAACAGGTGTCTAGTCCTACTTTCAAATTCATATTCAGACATTTCTGGACTTTGAGTTTCTGCTCAGGTGTTTCTGTTTCCTATAACAAAACTGTGACGTCATGAGTGACCACATGTAGCAATAATATGATCCCACCTGTTGCCTATTTCTCTCCTGTTTCTTAAAATTTTTAAGTCGCTTTGGATAAAAGCGTCTGCCAAATAAATAAACATAAACATCTCTGGTATCATGAGGCTTCTTCAGGGGTCACCTGATCAGATCAGATGTGTTTTAAACAGCTGCTGTGAGCGGAATCACTGCCCACTCACTAAGCCGCGTCAGAACGATCCTCTGAACTTTGCGCCATCCTCCGGTGAGCTGCGCCGTTTCTCTCAGACTGCCAGCAGCTGCAGGTTCTGCTCAGTCACATTCTGCAGCGCATTAGGATGCAGAGGGGGTGGGGTGGGGTTGAGGAGGGAGATGCCTTAACAGCTGCAGGAGCAGCAGCATCCTGTGCGGGAGGAGAGGAGAGGCGCTGGCGCGGAGCTTGTGCGCGCACCGCTGGAGCGACGCGTCTCTGCAGCGCCGCGGCTTTTCGGGAGCACCGATCGTTTCTTGATATTACGAGCCCACAAGTGTCCCAGATCAGGGAGGGAGGAGGAGAGGAGCCCCCACCGCGCGGCACCCCGCCCGTCTCGCCACACTTGGACTGCGGGGATTGCGACCTGAACCAGGGTGGCTTGTTCCTGCCACCCCGCAGGTCTGCGTCAAAGGTAAGCTGGAACGGAGGCACCTCTGTTCATGCAGGTAACGATGCTGCTGCTGCTGATGATGATGATGCTGAGGCTGATGATAATGGTGGTGGTCATGATGACGATGATGGTGATCGGAGCAGCTAAACCGCAGCGCTCTGATCTGCGCACCGCGTTCTGTTTGCGTTTTTCTGTGCTGGGGCATGCGTGCGTGTCGTTTCAGATCCATGCATGTAGAGAAAACTACGTAGGGAATTCCCACCGCGAGGCTCGGTGCGCACAGACCGAGCAGAACCGAGCCAACCTGGAGACGAACTCTTATGTAACGGGATTTCGCTGACGCGGTTCTGCAGGAGCGGGATTTACCTCCGTGTCCTTTTCCTCCGAGATGCTGGAAGTGGCCCGTGATCGATCATCTCCTACAGACTGGAATCGATCTTCAGATCAGTTTGTGGTCAGGACCGAGACGCATTCCCTTCGTGTTCGTTGGTTCTGTTTAATTTGATTTTAGGAAAACTAAATGTGCAAACGCAGCTGCTCTGGAGAAGGAACGCGTCTGAGCTTCTCCCACTTGATGTTACCTGATGGATGTTCCACAGCTGCTGATGAGAAAGAAGGTCTGAAAGTTGTGGATAAATAAGAGTCATGTTTTATTTTCTAACTTAAGAGGATGGTGAGTTCCATCTATGATTTATTGTGATGTTTTACATCTGCTTCAGCTATGAACTTGAATGTTTTACACTGGACCAACTCTATGCCCTTAGGGGGGTCCTGGAGGGTGCGTGGAAGTTCACCCAACCATCTACTTGTGTGTTGTGGATTTGGAGAAGGCGTTCCTCTGGGAGCTTATTGAGTATGAGGTTCCAGGCCCTCTGATACGGGCTATGACCGCTTGGTCCGCATTGCCGGCAGTAAGCTGGACTCCGCCAAGGCTGCCCTTTCTGTTCATACCTTCTATGGACAGAATTTCTAGCCACAGCCAAGGTGTTGATGGGATCTGTTTTGGTGGCCTAAGGGTCTGGTCTCTGCTCTTTGCAGATGATGTGGTCCTTCATCAAAACGTGGTCTCCAGCTTTTGCAGCCAAGTGTGAATCAGCTGGGATGACAATCAGCTCTTCCAAATCTGAGACCATGGTCTTGAGTCGGAAAAGGGTAGAATGCCTTCTCCGGGTCAGGGATGAGGTCCTGCCCCAAGTGGAGGAGTTTAAGTATCTCGGGGTCTTGTTCACAAGTGAGGGAAAACTGGAGCGTGAGATCGATAGGTGGATTGGTGCTGCATCTGCAGTGATGCGGGCGTTGTACCGGTCTGTCGTGGTGAAGAGAGAGCTGAGTCAGAAGGTGAAGCTCTCGATTTACCGGTCGATCTACGTTCCTACCCTCACCTATGGTCACGAGCTTTGGGTAGTGACCGAAAGAATGAGATCACGGATACAATCAGCGCAAATAAGTTTTCTTTGCAGGGTGGCTGGGCTCTCCCTTAGAGATGGGGTGAGAAGCTCTGTTAAGACGCCTCCCTGGTGAGGTTTTCTTGGTACGTCCAACTGGGAGGAGACCTAAAGGAAGATCCAGGACACTCTGGAGGGACTATATCTTTCAGCTGGCTGGGAACACCTTAGGATTTCCCCGGAGGAGCTGGCCCAAGTGTCTGGGAAGACGGAAGTCTGGGCCTCCCTGCTCAGGCTGCTGCCCCTGTGACCTGACCCCAGATACGTGTAGGACGATGAATGGATTTTGTTTTTATTTCAGAATCTTTCTTTCCTTTTTACTTGCAATCGGCATGATTCGGCACGGAAACCACTCGCACAACCTTTCATTCTTGTGCGGCATCCTTTTGGTTCCTGGTATGGCTGTATTTGTTGTTTATAATCATTATTTTTGTTTTATTGATTTATTTTAGTTTCATGTTGGAGCAGCTTTGTCTGGCATTTAGACATCTGAGGCCTGCTGAGTGAGTGTGTGCAGATTTTAGTCCTCCGGCTGGTTGTTGATGGGAATCAGCTTCTCTGTTCATTACTCAGATTTAGTTACCTGGTAACTAGGATCACAAGCCTTGACCGGCTTATTACTAAAAAGCAGTCATGACCCAGATCCTGCTATTGTTGCTGATAACGACTCACATTGGATTAATAAACACACACACACTGGATGGAAACTCTTCTGTTGACACACAGCTCCGACCCACAGAAACAGACTTTGACCTCACAAACATGTTCAGCAGACTCCCTGATGGAGATGGAGAGAGATGCTGGTTATGTGAGTTTATCCTAGAACATCCCACCTCTTGTCTGTAGTTTCATGGTGAGGATGTCCAGAAGCAGCTGAGATGCTGACTTCAATGCTGCTGGGGCATGACGGTGTTTATCTGTGAGCATTTCACTGCAGAGTCTTGAAAACAATCATTTCTAAATGTATCTTGAAATAGCAGGAAGCCAGTGTGAAGAGACCAGTGCTGTTTCAGGAAGCAGATCTGACTGATTTTAAACAATAATCTAAGTTATAAATGCACAAATGACTCGCAAAAGCAAAAACAGGGCTTCCATTTAGCTGCAGTCCTGAGAAGAAGAAATAAGTTTGTTTTCACTCCGTGTGTCTGGTTTAAACATCACCCATCACCTCCAGACCCCAGCAGAAGGGTGACCGGAAAGACCACTAGACCAAAATACTGAACCCTGTTTTTGTTTTCATTTAAATTTAATTCCATCCATGACTTGACATCTATTAGAGAGATTTTTCAAAGAAGTGATGCAACTGTCTGTTATGGAGAGAATGAAACCCTGAGGGATGCCATAATGTAATGGGACTACGCCAGAAGACCAGACTGGGCAGTTAAATAAAGTTTAGATCAGTAAAAACTCTTAAAGGCACCTTTGATCTTTCTGACAGAAATCCAGGCTGACATCACCAAACGTGGCTGCGCACGTGGAAGATCCCGCAGGATCCAGAGGGACAAAACTGAGCTGATGGAGAGAAAACCTTTCACAGTGGCTGAGAGGGAACAACAGAGAGGGTGTCACAACCCCATACAGAGGAGCAGGGGCCTCGTTTATAAAACTTTGCATAGAATCTTTAATAAAACTCTAAAAATGTATCTATGCTAATTCATTTTCCAATCTTAGGTAAACCCCTAGATACAAACAACAGCAGAGTAAGGAAAACACCAGACACACCAATCCAGATTGACTTGCAAGGGAGACGAGAACACTGGCCAAAGCCGGTCAGCTTCTCCAACGTGCTGGTCTCCCACACAGCCGCAACACAACTAATACAGTCTTGGTCACGCCCACTCGCACAGCCAGTTGTACATTCTTGATTACCCCTTCAGAAATTCCAATACCTCCTGTACTCATTCTAACCCCCGGCTACTTATACTCTCACCCGTATTCCACACAGGCGTCCATAAACCTGAGTTACACAACATTCCCAGAGCCCGCTAGTTCCTGTGTCTGATTTTCTCTTTTTCTCACACAAGATGAAAGAAAAGCACCATACATTAAGGTTCTACCAAAATAAAAGCAATGATAACAAAGTTAAGTTTTATTTACATTCGACCTCTAAAATACTGAGTTCACACAATTCCTGCTTTATAAATCAAACCTGTCCTAGAAACACGCTCAGGTGTTTATGATCACACCCCACCCCCAACACCTTCTGCCATTATACATAGGACTTTATGAATACCATTCGTCAGTGATCATCACTATTATCAGTGGCATTTCATGGGTAACCATGGTAACCTAGACAGAAATCGAGGTGTCTGTGGGTGAAGGTAGCACTAAAAATATGTTCATTGTCTTCCAGCAGCTCAGTGTTGTTACAGCGGCGAGCTGGGTGGTGACGCCGTGGAGTGATCACGCTGGGCACGATACAAATAAATAAAAACATTAAAAAGAGGTTAGACGGAGGCAAAGAGGAAGACGGCAGTGATTACTGATATCATTAGAAACTGATGCGTTGTGGAGTTCAGGGATTTCTGGGGTAATACACAGGGGGCTTCAGGCAGGAAGTGACATATGCTGTTCATCAAATCAAACAAATATTGGCTCGCCTTTGGTTAGTTCCAACTGGAATGGGCTGGTTTAAGGAAACATGACAGCTCAGCAGGTGCACCTCTGCCCCAGTTCACGGTGACCCAGTCTTCCCACCGCCACTGAGCAAGTTATAATGTTTTATTAGCACTCGACACGCTGTCCCACCTTGGACAATTAATGCACCAATCTGAGGATGTAGACTGTAGGGTTCGTGTGTGTGTGTGTGTGTGTTTACTAGCAGCTAGCTGGGGGGGGGGGGGGGGGGGGGGGGTGGACAGTCTACGTCACTCACTGATGACCTCAGTCTGCCAGTCTGTTGTCAAACAGGAAATGTGGATGTTGTCTTCTGCTTGATCAACAGACCAAGTGCTGCAATAGAAGCAGAGAAGAGCTGCTATGGGAGTCTGAAGATCCAAGCAGGAAGTCAGTGCTCCAGAATAAGTGTTTTCAGTAGCATTCACACTTGGGAGTGTAGAGGTATACACGTGGCTAGAAGCCACAACACGGAGCACAGGATCTTAGATGATTGTGTTTAGTCGTTGTTCTACCATCGCGCCAGCATGCACCAGCCTGCTAGCAACGTATCTCATGAGCAATGTGTCAGATGTTTCTGCCTCACAGCTAAGTGATGTTAGAAAACACCTAAACTGCTCCACCTTGATCAATTTTACATGTATTGAGGTGAAATTCATTTCATTTCATTTGCTGAGCGTCAGTCACAGCAGTGAATCTGCACAAGGTCGTGCCTGACTTTAGTCCCCAGATTAGCTATGCTCTCCACATCAGATTCAACGGTGACAGGAAAGGCGGTGGGTGGCGTGCCTTCCCCCCTGGATGGGTCTTTAATAGTTAGAGTTAACTTTCCATATCAGAGGAAAACAAGACCTGAGTGCCAGCTCTCAAGGTGCCCGTTGTGTCAGGATGGAGAGTGCTGCAGTCACCTCCACAGGGGCACCGCGGGTCTGTCTGGCTCCATCGTCACAGAAACACAAGAAGAATGAGACAGATGTGTGAAGTGGGATTTCACTGATCCACGTGGAAGAAAAAACAGGCTGACTGGTTCATTCAGGATCTGACAGGACCATGCTAAACGTCGGATCCAGTTGGGTCTGATTTTCCCTCCAAGGAGCCCGACCTCCCTTTCGTCTCTTTCTGTGGTTTGATCAACAGTTTTCCTGAGTTTCTGAAGGTGCTTCAGAAGTTTTTATTTCATTATTTTTTGGAAGGGGTGGGGGTTGTTGCTTCACTCATTTTTACTTCCTGTGCCTGAACATTCCCGGGGAAATGTTTTTTCCAAGTCACTCAGTTGTGACTCATCATTAAGGTGAAAACGTGTGAACTTGGAGCTAAGCCTGCACTAACTGACATTCCTCTGACCCCATTTTATTTTTCCTGTGTTATTCTGAGAAGATGCACCTTTGGTACTTCTTAATGAATCAAGTTCGATGGAATATTAGATTTATTTAACAACATGCTTCAGTGGGGATCATTTCTGCCCCCGTGTGTGTGTGTGTGTGTGTGTGTGTGTGTGTGTGTGTGTGTGTGTGTGTGTGTGTGTGTGTGTGTGTGTGTGTGTGTGTGTGTGGTGCTCCTAAGGTTGTGAGGACTCAGCATGTTGTCATCTTTTTTGCCCGAGGCGTGTAAAAGGATATATAAACAGTCCTGATGCAGCTGCGGTGCCCGTCACTCACACTGACCAGAGGTTTTAACACCCTCTGCTCTCAAACTCATTTATGATGATTGCACTGAGACCTAGACAACAGCCCAACTCACACTACTTATGCTTACAATATCCTGTGCTGAGTAAAATTAAGAGCCTCTGCAGGATAAACACAAAGGTTAGGGTTAGACATTATCTGTTCGAATAGAGAATCAGTCAGTCAGCAGGTCAGATGTCAGCGCAGAGGAGGTGGGATCTAAACGCGACTGGATCACATCCAGACTGATTAATGTCTTCGTCTCAGGTCAGGTGTTCTGTCCTGGTGCAGGGACTCTTCATCCTCGTTGTTCTGAGTGAAACAGGTTTATCTTCCTCACCACACCAGCACTGGATGCTGGCAGGAGGACAAATATTGGGCCAAAGGAGGTCTTACGTAACCTCTCAGGAGCTCCAGATATTTGTATTTTAGTTGGTAGATGTGAGCCTTTTCCTGTGGGCTCTGCAGGATGGCATCTGAGGCCACGTAAGCTGGATTTACGTATTCCTGCAGGGGTGTGTGTGTGTGTGTGTGTGTGTGTGTGTGTGTGTGTGTGTGTGTGTGTGTGTGTGTGTGTGTGTGTGTGTGTGTGTGTGTGTGTGTGTGTGTGTGTGTGTGTGTGTGTGTGTGTGTGTGTGTGTGTGTGTGTGTGTGTGTGGGTGTGGGTGTCACTGATATCCTTGTTCGTCTCAGCTCAGAGCTTTACAGAGTTTGGCTCAGATCTTGAGCTAAACTCTGGAGGTGTCGTTCCTCAGCTCTGCATCATCTTCCAGAGACAGCTCCAGACGTGTGCTAGCCTAATTCTGCTAAATGTTTCCGTCTTACTTTACTCTTCGCTCTGAGTGAATCCAGCTCCTTCTGACTGGATGCTGAATTATTTTCCATCATTTTTTATGAGTAAGTGTCTCGAGTTTTCAGGACACCAGGAGTTTGGAGGACACCTCTCACTTAAGTTTTTTTTGTCATTTGAGTGTTTTCAAATGAAGAATGAAGCATTGTTGTTTAAATGAGAGACGAGTTGTTTTATTATTTGTTCCATCATTAACGTTTGTCTGTTTTCCTGTTTTCCTACACCTCCAGGATCTCCTGGATCATAGAACCGGGACTGTCTCAGCTGCTGGACAACTTCGACTTGGGCAGAGCCCCAAAGGGATCCCACTGGGAGCTCGTGCAGAGAGAGAAATCTTTTAGAGATTTTTGTTGGTTCTTCACACCAACTCAAAACTTCACCAGCAAGATGTGCCATCCTTTTGAGAACCAGCTAACACAAACGTTTCTTTCTATGCCTTCATCTCCTTGGCTTCTGTTTTCCCATTCTTGACTCTTCATCAGCTGCACAACATGCGTCCTTCCCTCGCCACAGCTGTCCTACCAGCCAGGACCCGATCCCACAATCCACCCAACCTGGCCGTTGGAGGCCGTGAACACCTATCAGCTCCTCGTAGGCGCAGCCCCAACCTGAGGCACACCCTCAGTCCTGAAAACCTGCGGACACTGACAGAGAGGAGCGGGTCAGCCGATGGGGGTTCTGTTGTCAGTAGTCCTATTGGACTCACACGTGCTAACAGTGACACGGACCTGCTGACCTCCCAGAGCCGCTCTTCGCTCACTGCGTCCACTCTGGAGTACACCTTGAACCGGGGCCAGAATCTCGTCATCTCCTGGGACATCAAGGAGGAAGTGGATGCCACTGACTGGATTGGGCTGTATCACATAGGTGAGACTAAAGGTTTAGTTAGAGCCACAAAACCTGTTTGACCATTTAAAGTGAGATTCTGTTTAGAATGTAATTAAAAAGTCCCTCTTCTCACCTGTGGTAACTAGCTTACTGAACAGCCTCTGTTTGGAGAAATAACTTTTACGCTTTTGAGGAGGAAATGGCTAGTCTTTTACTTATTCACTGCCAGCCGTTTCCTGATCGGTAAAGCACTTCGCTGCCAGCGTTTTTCAGCATTGTCACTGTTTTTTTAAGAGTCACAGAACGTTGCACGCTAGGATGATGTCGACGCCAAAACAACCAAAACAAAGCGTAGACTCACCTCTTACATCAGGAAGAATCCGCGCGTTCCAAGCTTTATCTGTTCTTTCATAATCCGTTGTTGAATTGTGATCGGCAGAAGCTTTTCCAGTTCATGCCTCACTTTTTTTACAGCAGCGGCCCAAAACGATCTCCTAAAGCCGGGCGTACACTGTGCGACTTTTTCACTCGCAGATCTCACGAGTCATGTGCTCACACTGCATGACCCAGTTCTCGCATGCAACCTGACTGCTCACACTGTACGTCTGGTAGCAGCACGTCGGCCCTAAAAATATGCTAAAAATAGCAGTTTTTACTCAACACGTCAGACTTTTTTATCTTGTCTTGCCTGTTGTCCTTCGGGAGTGCTACAGGAGGACACACAGGGATTTATGGGGGTTGGATGAGGAAAACGAAATAAAGAAAGTAAATCTGTGTTTTGTGATCAGTTTAATTTGACATGAACACGACAAACATGCTTTCTTGACAATCTTTGTGAGTAAAAAAACGTGTAGAAACAAAAACGAACAGCGTGTGTTATTAGGGAAATAGCGAGCGACCGGCGTTGATGCAGGATTGCGCGCGCATGCGCCGTGAGCGGTTCTGATACTTTTTGGATCGCAGCTGCTCGCAGCGCTGCTTCAACAGTGCGATACCCTCACAAGGGACGAGCGAAATATTAAACACACCAGAAGTCCGTGCGACCTCACGACTGCTGATCGGCAGCTGGTCACGTGGTGTTAATCGCCTCTCGTAACCCCCTGTACACTACACGACCGCTCGGCGCAAAACTCGCCCCGATGTCGTGGATTCTCGCACGACTGGAAAATCGGCTCAAAAAAGTGAAAAAGTCGCACAGTGTACGCCCGGCTTAACACATGGATGTTCTGCTTCCTGATCACGTGACGGGTGACATATGCGGATGAAGATCGCTTTAGAGCTGAGATGTTTGTTCTCACGGTGCAGGGGCTCGTTCCGATGCTCACACAGTAAAAAAATACAAACGACGACTTTAGTCGTCATTGGCAGTGAACGGCAAACAGTAGTTAGTTTTATAACAGAGAAGTTAATAAAGTTAGGAGATTGTACTTCCCCTGTAATTTTCACTTCATTGGCTTGTGGTCGAGGACTTTTAGGGCTTGTTTGTAGGCATGACAGGTGTCAAGCAGGCTGGGCTGCTCGGCTTCAAACAGTTGACCAGTAAGAGAGGTGAGACCGAGTCATGGCATTATAGGAACAGCTGGGCAGCTTTTACAGGTATGGCCTCTTCAGATGGACGCAGTCGAGGTTGGTCCTAATGGTTCTGGAGACGGTTCTGATGTGGGACTCAAATTTAAGATGAGAATCCAAAACAACATCCAGATACATAAACTTGTCCACTTGTTGGATTTCTTTCATTTTATTTATGTTGATGAAGACGGTGAAGTTGTCAGAAATCTTGCGTTTGATCGTAAAACACATGGAGACGGTTCTGCTGTAGTTCAGGGTCACTGGACTCACCCAGAGAACGTCTCGGCTAGTAGAAGCTAACTGTTAGCATTAGCAACTCCACCACACAGCAGAACTCCTCCAGGCTTGTGTTATTTGTGGAGATAAAACATCAACACTGCAGAGCAACCAGTCACTGGTAGAGTCGTGTTGCTGTTAGCCAATCAGAGGAGAGATGTACAAATATCAGGAAATAAGAGTCAGTCCTGTCGTCTGATGCTCATCTGTGATGTGGGCAACTTTTAGTTCCTACAAATGGTGCACTGGTATCATGGTGTCATGGTTTCTACACCGGAGAGCAGGAGGGAGGCTGAGTCAACATGTTCACCTCAATGTACGATAACACACACACACACACACACACACACACACACACACACACGCACGCACGCACGCACACACACACACACACACGCACGCACGCACGCACGCACGCACGCACGCACACACACACACACAGCGAGGCATAGTGGTCTCCTATAATGAATACTAATCCTGCGTTGGGACAGGAACTTGACAGGGGGTAAATACATTGACCTGACTGCTGAAGGAGGCTCTCAGACTCACAGTGACAGGCAGATCTGTCCACAGTGGGGAAATGTAATACAGCAGGAAGAGTGTAGACCCAGCACTTTGGTTATAAACATCTCTGAATTATACAGCTTAGCGGTGATGTCACCTCAAGGTCCATCCTGGCTCTCTGTAGAACGCTCGTCTTCAGTTCTGGTTGGTCTCTTGAACCCTAAGTCAGAGCTGTCTGATGGTCCCACCTCAGAATCTCAGCTTGGTTCTGGTCTGGACTCTAACTGGACCATGATCATGTTGTAGTTTAGCTGCTGGGTTTGCACACGGCTGGGTCCAGACTTCAGACTGATGGACTCGCATTAGGCTCCAGAGGAGTTCCTGGTGCATTTGGTGACTGTAAGGAACCCCCCACCTCTGTGCTGATAGCTGGGATCAGCTGTTCCTGCTGCAGTGCATCATGGGGAAGCAGCTCTACTTTGGTCTCATTGTTCTAAAAGTCCACCTGAGCTGAGCTGCCATTATCTGTAGAGAGGAGAGGGTTCATCGTGACCTTTAACTGAGTTCTGAGATGGACCACTGTCCTGGATCATTTAGATCAGGGATGTCCAGCCTACGCGGGTTTAACCAACAGGTCATTTATGGCTTTGAATCAAGCGTCGTGTTTCTCAGTGGTCCAGCCTCTGTTCCTGGATCTGTAACCGCTCATGACTGTTGGACAAAATAAGACCTGGAGACCACCTAACTTTGTCTTCTCGTTGTTCTATGTAGCAGAGAATCAGCCAAAGAAGAGGACATTATGTCCCGCCGGAGCCAGGCGGGTCGTTAGGTCACCTCGTATTGATCATAAGGCAGCCAGGACTTAATTACCTGCTTCAGGGTCTCACACCCCAGTGGAGCTACTGCTTTCATCGACTAAGCAGACATTCAATAACAAGCAACCTCCTCACACACACACACACACACACACACACACACACACACACACACACACACACACACACACACACACACACACACACACACGCACGCACGCACGCGCACACACACACACACACACACACACACACACACACACACACACACACACTCCCCCCGACTGTGCCTTCATTAATCTGTGTACAAAACTGCTACGTACAGCGGAATTCCCCCTCCCTGTTTTTAACTGGGAGGAAGTTTTTCCCGGTTCGAGGTTATACGGAGGCTATTTTTGGGAGTGAGTTTCACTGATTAAAGGAAAACGAGCCTCAGAATGCCGAGTCTGCAGACTAAACAGGCAGAAAGTTACATCAGATGCAACTTTTACACAAACGAGAGCTAAAAACAGACGTCTGTGATCTTGTTTTTGTGCCTCTGCAGACGAAACCAGCCCCTCCAACGTGTGGGACTGTAAGAACAGGGGGGTCAATGGCACTCAGAAGGGTCAGATCGTTTGGCGGCTGGAGCCGGGGCCTTATTTTACAGAGTGTAAGTCGCATCACAATTACCAAACAACTACAGTAAATAAGCAGAATAGACGTTTCTTTGATAATGACGGAAATGTTGCCTTTTCTTCCACAGCTGAAACTAAGATTTGTTTTAAGTACTACCACGGCGTGAGCGGCGCCCTTAGAGCAACGACCGCCTGCATCACTGTGAAGAATCCAGCTGTTCTGGTGTGTTTGACTCTGTTTCTGTCCGAATATCCAGAATCAGACAGAAATATATCCTTGGCTGTAGATCGTGATCATGAAGGATTGAGCATTATTATTTCCTTGGATTATAGAAACTCGCTAAAACGTCTTTATTACACTCAGAGGGACTGGATTCTTGGAAAAGATTCAGGAAATTTGGCATTTTTGTGAAATAGAGTTATCAAATAATATTTTGGGTGCATTTAGATGTGAATTTTATGTGTAAAAGCTGTTAATAAATCCTGTTACCTGTTATCTGAACAGCCTCTGTTCAGAGAAATAGTCTGCATCCTTTTGGATAGTTTCTTATCCATCCAGGTGAAGTAAAGAACAAACACAACAAGGCGAGAGGACTTCAGCAGGAGTGAGCTGCGGGTTTATAAGTCGCTGCAGAACAATCACACAACCATGAAGATCTTATCGGTGTGATTGCTCGACAGCGACTCATCAGCCTGGCCATCACGTGATCAGAACCGAATACGTAGGATTTAGAAAATCTTGAAGCCGTTCATGTTAGAACTTTTGTTTCTGTGAGATCAGCCGTTCTTCTGGCCGTGAGGCTGCTACAGACGTGCTGTTGTGTGTTTGTAGTTGGAGGGGCTGGCAGAGCAGGTGGGAGTCGAACATCCTCGAAAACTGATCAGCTTCACTTTAACAGGTGAGTTCAACACTTGCTTGTTTGCTTAATGCTGTGGTTGACTGAAAAACAGTTTTAGTGATTATTTCTGATTCTAACGGGTCACTCTGAGTGTTTCATGCAGGCTGAACATGAAAATAGTCTCCTACACCTATCTCCTGCATTAGCTTCTGACAGAAAACAGACTATGATTAGAAAATCCTGACAGATCTACGTCACACTGTCACTAACATTCATGGACTCACCCATCTTGACTCACGACGGGGAAGGCTGTCGTTGGTTTAGCGTCCAGGACACAGCAACGGACATCTTGGTTAGTTTCTACAGCTGAATGAAGACTGAGATCCTCATCTGTGCCCCAGACAAGCTGGTTCCCAAAGTCAGAGACTCTCTTGGTCAGCTTGCTTCTCACACCAAACCTTCTGTCAGGAATCTTGGCGTGACCTTTGACCCAGCTCTCACCCTGGATTCTCATGTCAGTGCTCTTGTTCGCTCTTCCTTCTTCCATTTCAGGAACATTGCTAAGCTGAGTCCCATTCTGTCTCGGTCTGAACTTGAGACAGTTCTCCACACCTTCATCTCCTCACGCTTAGACTACTGTAACTCTCTTTTCACGTGTCTGAGCAGAACCTCCCTGAACCGTCTACAGGTGGTTCAGAACGCCTGTGCTCGGCTTCTGACCAAGTCCTCCAAACACACCCACATCACCCCGCTTCTCCTCCAGCTTCACTGGCTGCCAGTCAACTTCAGGGTTCATTTCAAGATCCTGGTTCTGGTCTATAGGGCCTTACATGGACAAGCACCATCTTACATTGGTGATCTTCTTAGTCCCTACACCCCCAGCAGGTCCCTGAGGTCCAGTGACCAAAGCCTACTGGTTGTGCAGCACCAGGCTAAAGGTCAAAGGTGACAGATCATCTGCTGCTGTGGCCCCCAGACTCTGGACCTCTCTCCCCCTGAGCCTGAGATCAGTGGACTCAGTGGTCTCCTTTAAACTCACCTGTTCAGGCGTTGGTGGGACCTTCATCACCTCCCTCTCCTTGTTCTGCTCTTTCAACCTATTCTACCTTTCAGGATCCACTGACTTCCTTCTTTCTCATTCATTTCCCCCCTTACCCTTCCATTTTTTAATCACAAGTTTTTTTTCTCATTTTAAATATATTTTTAATCTTTTTGATATTTAGCCAATCAGAGGAGAGATGTCCAAATACTTTAGATCCTGCCATCTGAAGCTCAGCTGTGATGTGGGACACTTTAGATCTGAGAAATGGTGCACCAGTATATTTGTTCCCCCAGGAACGACTCACAAGGATTCATTCCTACTAGAGACCACTGCAAATGTGTCGATTAAACGAATGTTCCACTTCTTTAAAGTTCAAGGTCATGAGAGAAGAGCTCAGGTTTAGACGGATGAGCTACGTAAATGGGAAGCTCTGAAGATGTTTACAGGTCATAAATGAGGTTTTGTACCTAAAATTTTTTGATGTGATTAGAACAGTTTGTCGGTTTCATGAACAAAAACAAACTTTTCTTTATTGAATGTTTTTGTCTGAAAACTTCAGTCTGGACTTTTTCTGTTCAGATCTGCGAGCCACCGGCTTGAAGAAGGGAATGTTTTTTAATCCTGACCCTTACCTGAAGATGTCCATCCACCCGGGGAAGAGGAACGTCTTCCCTGTCTTCAGCCATCATGGACAGGAGAGACGATCAGCCATCATCGCTAACACCATCAACCCCGTGTGGCACGGAGAGGTGATGCCCGTGTTTTCATGACAAGTCTCCATTCAGCCACTGGCTGAGGTTCATGTATGTGTGTTCACCTGTGGATAGAAATACACCTTTGTGGCGCTGATGACTGACATCCTCTACATCGAAGTGAAGGACAAGTTTGCAAAAAGTCGGCCGATCATCAAACGCTTCCTTGGTCAGCTCACCATCCCGGTGCAGCGGCTGATTGAGAAAATCCCAGGGTAGGAGGCGGTCCTTTGGGACTGACAGATGTTTGGTTCCTTGAGGAGGCTAGGAGCTCCTCAGAGGCATCATCAATTACTTTTTTTCTCTCTGCGTGACCCTGCAGAGTTCAGCCTGTGAGTTTCTCTTTGTGTCGGCGTTTACCAACTGAACACGTGAGCGGACAGCTGCAGTTCAAAGTTGAGCTGACGTCGACGGGGCCTGATGGTAAATTTACATTTCAGGATTTAAGTTTCTCAAACAAAACCAACCGCTTCTGTTTTAATCCTTGTGACCCTCTCTGCCTGCCGTAGGTGCTTCTCCTGACTCCATCATTGGCCTCTCCTCTTTGAACGGAGCTCCAGGAACTCCATCGGATGATGAGGACTTGCCCCATCCTCTACCAGGTGTGGTCTCTGCAGAGGCCTGTCCGACTGGATCCCAAGGCTCCCAAGGGATGTGGGAGGGTGGGGCCACAGCCTTACCAGAAAAAAGCCTGCCAGCGGTCAGAGCCAAGGCCAGATTCATGGAACCTGAAATAGTTTCTGACCAGACAATGTTCCAGAGGTCCCTCAGTGAGGGGCTGGATGCTATCGAAGCGCCCAAAGGTCCTGGTGAAAGACCTCTGGGTGCCGCCTCTCCTAAACTGTGTTCCAGTTTCCCAACACACACCAGGCTGAGCTCTATGATGCATATCGACTCAGATGAAGATGAGGAGAGGTCCGTGATGAATGACTTACCCCCGATGCCTTTGTCACCACTGCTGATGAACGGAGAGCCTCTCTATGTTGGAAGCCTGGATGAGGATGACCCATTTCCTGAACTCCCGGAGCGCTTGGTACAGGAGGAGGAGCCTGTCGGTGCTATGATGGAGGAAGGACCATCGGAAGCAGAAGTGGTTCTGGGTTTAGATCCAGATCTGGATTTGGATGTCAATCTGGAAGCAGATGTTTTTCTAGAGGTAGAGGAGGAGACTCTTTTTACTGAGGCCATTACCCATAATCCTGTTCCAGAGACTACGGAGGTAACTGAACAAGGAAGCGTGCCTGGTGAGGACGTCTCATCGGAGATCGACACCTGCTCCATGGCAACAGCGCCTCAGACAGTTTTCTCATCATCAGAGAGCTGTCCAACCACGCTGGCCGCTGCTGCGGTGAGTTCTCCTGAGAGTTTAATCCTGGGATGTGGGGTGGCGTGTTCTCTGGGCTTTCCTTTATTTGCTTTTCTAACAACAGTGTGGGCTAAGCGTGTTTTGGGCTGCAGGTTCTGAGCCTTCTGTGTGTGGGCCCAATCTGATAAACCAATCTGTTGCTTTCCCGTGGCTCCACTCTGCTCTCTGGGTCAAACAACTTCAGGCTCCATGAAATGTCACTGATCCATCCATCCTCTCCCTCTTACCCAGAGATGGGTCGTGGGGGCAACAGCCTAAGTCGAAAAGCCCAGACTCCCCTCTGATCTTTTTCATCATTTCCCTTTTATGTTTTCTGCATTTTTCTGGTTTCATGCTAATTCTGTTTTAGGGGACTTTTACCCAAAACGTGCTTCCTTATGTGGTGGATTTATAGACCAGAGGCAGGCAGAGGAGCCAGACATGGTACTCTAGTAGCTTTACTGTAATATATGAAAAAAGACCCCAGAAATAGTACAAAAATACTACTTGGTAAAAAGGCAGCTCAACTACTGAGTAAATGTTTGATCATAACAGCTGATCTAAGACAGCTGAACTGACATGTAAAGAGCCTTGAGACGACTCTTGTCGTGATTTGGAGCTTTATAAATAAACTTGAATTGAATTGAATTGAATTGAATTGAATTGATTTGATTTGATTTGAATTGAACTGAATTGATTTGATTTGATTTGAATTGAATCGAATTGAATCGAATCGAATCGAATCGAATCAAATCGATTTGAATTGAATTGAATTGAATTGAATTGAATTGAACTGAACTGAATTGAATTGAATTGAAATCTAAGGAGCAGAGGGGGCTGAGAGACGAGCCCAGAAGTCAGCCTGACCTGACTCTCTGGATCTGGGTCGTAACAAGTCCGTGGTTCTTTTGGACTGACACGTGTGCTGTTTTTTTGGGATCCTCTGCAGGAAGCAGAGGAAGGAGCAGCGATGGCCATAGATCCAGGGGGAGATGCAGACCCGGGTCCTCCTCCAACCACTCTCGCTTTAGATGGCGATGACGATGCTATCAAGAATGAAGGAGAAGCTCCACCTGCCAGTGAGCAGATAGAGGAGCTCAGTATGAGGAGGCGGAGCCTCCAGGCAACAGGGGGTGGGACTGAAGAACAGGAAGGGGAGGGGTCAAAAAGAGAGGAGGTGTGCTCTATGGAATCAGAGCAAGTCACCATGGAAACAGACGGGGAGGAAGGTATTGGGTTTTGGTCAGATGCTACATCATAAATGAGCAATAATCTAATTTAAATAATTATGAAATTATGTCTAATTGCAGCACTTTAACCTGAGTTGATGTTTTCAGGAGCTCACGTTAATGGTCACCCTGTACGCTCACTCCCCTCGGTGCGCCATGACATCCATCGGTACCAGCGTGTGGACGAGCCGCTGCCTCCCAGTGAGTGTGTGTGTCTGCATGCACCTCGTCACTTTTGTTTCCTCTCACTCTTGTTTATTTCTGTAGCTGGAAATTAGAGCACATCTGGTTTGAGATGTCTTCATTTTTCATCTTCTTGTCTTGTTTCAGCTTTTATTTTTACAGCCCCAAGCCCTGGAGACTTTAAACACCTACTTCTTACTTTTATTAATCTCCCTTCAGACTGGGAGGCTCGGATCGACAGCCATGGGAGGATCTTCTTTGTGGATCACGTGAACAGGACCACCACATGGCAGCGTCCCACCGGACCCCCCGCCCCGCAGGGCCTGACCCGCTCCAACTCCATTCAGCAGATGGAGCAGCTCAACCGCAGGTGGGCTTGGGAAACCATCTATTTCGGGTTTTTAAGGTTTATTTATTTATTTTTTTATTGTTGAAACAATTTTTCATCCATCACAGATACCAGAGCATCAGGAGGACTATCACCAACAGCGATCGGTCAGAGGAGAGCTCACCTGACCTCCTGTCTGAACCAGAGAGTGACCTGATGCCTCATTCCATTTCTGGTTGGTGTGGTTGCTTCTGCCCACCTGTGAGGTTTAACAGCCTGGGCTGCTTTGACGAGTCTTCTTCTCTGTGACCGGTTCTGTTTCAGATTACCGTCGGGAAGGTGCCATCACCCACTCCAGCGGCCGCTTACGACTCTCCCTACTGCTTCAATCCCCCAGCGCCAAGTTCCTGTGCAGCCCTGACTTCTTCACCGTGCTGCATTCAAACCCCGTCAGTAAACCCACTCCAGGAGGAATTCCAGCGGGAAACTCCACATTCCTGCTCCGTTTGATGGAAAAAAACCTTCATTCCTCTCTTTTCCTTCTCAGAGTGCCTATCGAATGTTTACGAGTAACACCTGCCTGAAGCACATGATCAGTAAGGTGCGCCGAGACGCTCACTACTTTGAGCGCTACCAGCACAACCGGGACCTCGTCACCTTCCTCAACATGTTCTCCAACAAGCAGCTGGAGCTGCCTCGGGGCTGGGAGATGAAGCACGATCATACTGGGAAGGTGACCGGTTGTTTCTTGCTGCTTTCGGCCAAACCATCACCTTGATCTGTGTAGAGCTGGTTTCCCAATCCTGGTCTGCAGGACCACTATCCAGCATGTTTTAGTTGTGCCCCTGCTCCAACACACCTGGTTTTAATCAGCAGGTGATTAACAAGCTTTTTGTAGAGCCTGACAAGCTGCTGAACAGGTGTGTTGGAGCAGGGAAATAACTAAAACTTGCTGGCTAGTGGACCTGCATGACCAGGACTGAGCACCCCTGATGCAAAGGGTTTATGTTTATCCATACCTGACTGTGTCTCTTCCCCCCCCCCCAAGCCCTTCTTTGTGGATCACAATTGTCGCTCGACGACCTTCATCGACCCCCGCCTGCCCCTCCAGAGCTCTCGATACACTGGGCTGCTGGCTCATCGCCAACATCTTAGCCGCCAGAGAAGCCACAGTGCTGGAGAGGTAAGAAACCAGCGCCTCAAGGCTTTCCCAGAGTCTGAACGTAGCTGCAGACACAAAATTTAACTGTTGAAGCAAGGAGATCCTGGATCCAAACAGGGGAGGAGCCAGCGCTATCCCTTCATTGAGAGGTGGTTAGGCTTCTGACGAAGAGGGCTCCTGGTTTCCATGGGTCAGAACCAGGAAGCTACCTGACCTCTAATGCTTCCTTCTGTCTCAGGTGGTGGATGACTCTCGTCAAAGCAACCCACCTGTGATGCCCCGCCCCTCCAGCACCTTCAGCGGCTCCAGTCGAAGCCCGTACAACGACGCGGTGCCAGTCGGTGAGTTCTCCAGGTGGAAGTTCAGTCACAAACACACAGGATCCAGAACACACACTCCTTATTTTCCCATATTTTGCTTTCAGCATACAATGATAAGATAGTGGCGTTTCTACGGCAACCCAACATCTTTGAGGTCCTGCAGGAAAGGCAGCCTGAACTTGCCAGGAACCATTCACTCAAGTATGCCTCTCCTTGTTTTAACCTCCTTCTCTCCAGCTGCATCACCCAACACACACTCAAGCTTTAACCCTGCGCGCACACGCTTGTGTGTGTGTGTGAGAGTGTGTGTATGTGTGTGCGCGTGTGTGTGCGTGCGCGCGCGCACTCACTCGTGCATACATGTGTGTTTTCAGAGAGAAGGTCCAGTTCATTCGCAGTGAGGGAGTCAACGGGCTGGCTCGTCTCTCCAGTGACGCGGACCTCGTCATGCTGCTCAGGTGCGTCCTGCAGGTGGAGGTGGGGCCTCCTGATGAGGGCTAGTTTTCAGTGGTGACTGGTGAAGAATAATTCTTGGAGGGGCCAAGTGAGAAAAGATTCTGTGTGCTTCTGCGTTTCCTCCATGCTGAGTTAGAGTCGCTGGATAAAACCCAAACCTGATGATTTGGGAAAAAAGAGACAATTAGAAATATAGAAGTAAATAATCTAGTTCATGTCTGATGTTACTTTTGCTTCTTTCTCCTTTGTCTCCAGTTTATTTGAGGAGGAGGTGATGTCATACGTGCCCCCGTTACTCCACCCTGGTTTCTGCCTCTCTTCTCCTCAGAGCTCCCCTGGTAACTCGTCCCAAACACCACCGACACAAACTTCATTACCTTTGATTAAACACTCACCATGCAGCTCAAGCTCCTTTTACCTTTGTTACAAACATTAAACACAAGTAGAATTCTTCATAGGTCCATAGGTTCTTATATCCTTTTAAAACCGTCCTGATTACTAGGTCTTTGGACCTTCTGGAGGTCTTCAAACTTTATCTTTTGGTTAATCTGATGCAAAAGTTTGGAAATGGATTCCTACCTTTGAAGGCGTACTATGTAACTTTTCATATTTTTAAATAATTTCCTTTAGCCTGTATGTGCTACAATGACCCTTTACAGAGTTAATGAAACGTCACTCAGACCTCTACTGCCTTCTGTGGCCAGAATATCACGCTTGCAACTTCAGAGTGTCGGTCCTGTCCTTGTTAGACTTAGTAAGTGGGGCTGACATGCCAGTACTGTAGTCTGGTTTCAGCACATTTCCTACATGTTTTGGATCATGAACACAGCTGATTTGTTTGATTTAGTGATGAATCGCTCCTGTAGACACTAATGAAGGCTGAGAAGACATTTCAGCTGTTAGATTAAGGTGTTAAAACACAAATGTACAGCGAGGAGATAGATTTCACTTTTACTAACAGATACTAGGGGTGATAAAAGCAATCCAAAACTGGCTAGTATTGATCACCTGAATATAAACCTTGACTGTTACAGCTAAAACAAAACTTCCATCCAACCATAGCTTTGGGTTTTCCTTCACACTGACATGACTAAACAGCTGCCTTTTAATCTGAAAGAGTGACAGGAAGTAGATAGTTAACAGTAAAGGAAACATGTCGGCTTATTGAAAGATTGATGCAAAATACAAAAGCAGTGAAAACGAACGCTGTAATTATAAAGTGCTTCAGAAACAAAAAAGTTGTAAAACTGTTTAGTTTGTTCAGAGTTAATGGTCTTTGCAGGTGGAGCTTAGCAGTGCGCTGGTCACATCCATGTTAGGACACACACACACACACACACACACACACACACACACACACACACACACACACACACACACACACACACACACACACACACACACACACACACACACACACACACAACAATCCAGGATTAACCGACATAAAACCTCTGATCACAAACCCACTCAAGCTTCACCAATCACCCAGATGTCCTTTTGTCCCAGTCTCCAGGTCACCTGCGCGATCGTCCCGCTCTGCCTCTGTGTTGGACCTGCCGTTGGACTCATGTTTCTGTACGTCTGATTCTTTAAATCTTAGGAACCCAGAGAGCAAATGCCCGAGCTCCTGCTCCCTATAAACGGGATTTTGAAGCAAAACTGAGGAATTTCTATCGAAAGCTGGAGACTAAGGGTTATGGC